TCTGGCACTGCCCTATATATTCTTAATATGGGGCACGAGGGTAGCTAGGGTGCATGTGCAGCTCCAATGGGCACTACTACCAAAAGTCCCCAGTCAAAGGCTCATGGGCCCCTGAAGTGGATCACTCATAGGTACAAATATCTGGAAGAACTCCAGTTACAGTCAAGGTAAGTAAGCTCCCCCTCTTTCCACCTCCCCCCTCCCTGCAAACAAGTAGTTTCTCCCATCCACAGCCAGCCTCCTTAACAACTCTCCATTGTCTTTTATCTGGTAGGACGTGGTTCAGCCTCTGTGAGCAAATGGTGGATTCCGCATCCATATAGAGGCATACAACAGTTTTATAATAATAACTTCAAAACATCAGTCAGAATTCATAAGGTGTACATACACAGATTCCCCAAGCTGTCATATGTGCATTCCTAAAAACTGCAGAGCAGGACACTATTTTTTTGGAAAGTGAAAAATTCAGTTTGCCATTTTTGGGTCTGAGGCTTTCTTCCCTTTTCTCTCCCTCTGTTATTCCACCCCTGCCACACAGATATTTATTTTCATTGGAGAGTGTGGAGAAGGTAAAATAAAAGTGTGAGAAAGTGGGGGGAAAGCATTTCTTGCACTCTTACTGTTTTCCAACAGAAAAATGAGAGAAAATGGAAGAGAACCCCCACACATCTGAAAATGGAGAATGAATATTTTTAATCTTCAAAAATCAAAACAACATTTTAAGTCAAGACAAAAAAAAATCAAAATTTCCTGTAGGAAAATCAAAAATTTCCATCAAAAATGAAGTTTCCCTGCAAAAAATTCAGAGAGAACAAAACCTCATTTTTTCTGCTGGAAAACTTTCCATATGAAAAATTTTGACTGGCTTTAGTAGCAGCATAGATGGGAGCTGGCCCTCCTCCCAAATTTTCCTCATGGATGTTAGAACTGTAGTGCCTAAATGGGACTATTTAAATGCTATTACTAAGCAAAGGAAAATTCCTTTTTGGTTTTTTAAAAAAAGAAACTAAATTTAATGTAGAAAAAGTTAATACAGAGTTAAGGTTACACAGCTAAAAAAGATAAAATGACAAAGAGATGATTGGCTCAGAATATGATGGGATCGCCATACAGCATTTAATGTCCTGTTTCTTTCAATAAAGAAAAAATGTGATTATTCTATTTATTTCTAAAATTCACCTGGTACATTCCAGAGACTAGCTTCGCTGGTCATCAGAATGCACTTTTTTTACTTTGTTCAGGACCTATTATAATAGCATCATGACTGCAGATTTAATAAGAAACTTGTGTGTGAGTGTAGGAGCATCTTACCTGATCTAGCATTGGGTGCTTCAGCTACCTCAGTTTCCCTTCTGCCTCCTGTCTTCCACAGCTGGTGGGCTGCTCTGGTGCCTTAAGTGGGTTTATTGGAATTTTTCCCTCTGGCCAAACCTCAATTTAGCATCAATCCACTTTCAGGGATCAAAGGTTATACAAAGTGCTATGGAAAACCTGGAGTGAGGAGATCCAGAGAGATGGAGGCTGGGAGGAGCCAACATTTGCACACTAATGCCAGTTACTTAAGGTGAAAGAGCAACCCATTCACCTAGACTGGTTTAATCTGAAATGCAGAAACATGATTAACTAACATTCTGTCATGTAACACAGCTGGTTTGATAGATGTTAGAAGCATCTTCTCAAAACCATGCATAATAATTACAGTTTCAGCTTGTTCACAAACTCTATTGTCTAAACAGCATGTGGTTTGTATTGTAGGTCCTCCAGAAAAAGACAGACAACACAAGGTAGTTCTGATGCTGCGGGCACAGTAAGTGTTTTTCATATAGCTCACTTCAGTTACTCTTTAATATGCGAAGAGCATATGAGCATTTTCTAGTCTGGAAGATAATCAAAACTTATCTTCCTTTTTTTCAATTTGAAAAATGATCATGTAGATCTGAAAATAATACAGCCGAATATGACAGGAGGAGCACAAGTTTTGCAACTACTACAGATAAGGTTCCCAAAGCCATTCCAATTATCGTTTTATTTTTAGCTCCTTGTAGCTTTCCAAAACATTCACATTTGGGGGTGAATTTTTTGACGCCCATGGGTTGCTTTTAGTTTGGTTGGTTAGGTTTTGTTTTGGTCTTTTAATTGTAAGCAAAAAAGTCATTGAGCTATTTTACAAACAAGGAGATTTGGAAACACATTTTCCCAATGCAAAAAAAAAAAAAATCTGCAAGCTTTCTCTCAACAGTTATAGCACAGGAACATTTTGGGGTAGCAAGTTGATATTTGGCAAGAAAAAAGCCCTGTTTATACATCTCAGTACTGTATTAGCCATTTTGGCCACATGTTTAGCTAATTATCCATGAGGACCACCAAATCTTCTTCAGAGTCACTGCTTCTCAGGATAGAGTCCCCCATTCTGTAAATATGGCCTACATTCTTTTTTCCTAGATATATACATTTATATTTAGCCATATTAAAAATGCATATTGTTTGCTTGTGCCCATCTTACCAAATGGCCAAGATCATTCTGTATTAGTGACCTGTCATAGAATCATAGAATATCAGGGTTGGAAGGGACCTCAGGAGGTCATCTAGTCCAACCCCCTGCTCAAAGCAGGACCAATTCCCAACTAAATCATCCCAGCCAGGGCTTTGTCAAGCCGGGCCTTAAAAACCTCCAAGGAAGGAGACGCCACCACCTCCCTAGGTAACGCATTCCAGTGCTTCACCACCCTCCTAGTGAAATAGTGTTTCCTAATATCCAACCTAGACCTCCCCCACTGCAACTTGAGACCATTGCTCCTTGTTCTGTCATCTGCCACCATTGAGAACAGTCGAGTTCCATCCTCTTTGGAACCCCCCTTCAGGTAGTTGAAGGCTGCTATCAAATCCCCCCTCATTCTTCTCTTCTGCAGACTAAACAATCCCAGTTCCCTCAGCCTCTCCTCATAAGTCATGCACTCCAGACCCCTAATCATTTTTGTTGCCCTCCGCTGGACTCTTTCCAATTTTTCCACATCCTTCTTGTAGTGTGGGGCCCAAAACTGGACACAGTACTCCAGATGAGGCCTCACCAATGTCGAATAAAGGGGAACGATCACATCCCTCGATCTGCTGGCAATGCCCCTACTTATACAGCCCAAAATGCCGTTAGCCTTCTTGGCAACAAAAGCACATTGTTGACTCATATCCAGCTTCTCGTCCACTGTGACCCCTAGGTCCTTTTCTGCAGAACTGCTACCTAGCCATTCGGTCCCTAGTCTGTAGCAGTGCATGGGATTCTTCCGTCCTAAGTGCAGGACTCAGCACTTGTCCTTGTTGAACCTCATCAGGTTTCTTTTGGCCCAATCCTCTAATTTGTCTAGGTCCCTCTGTATCCGATCCCTACCCTCTAGTGTATCTACCACGCCTCCTAGTTTAGTGTCATCGGCAAACTTGCTGAGAGTGCAGTCCACACCATCCTCCAGATCATTAATAAAGATATTAAACAAAACCGGCCCCAGGACTGACCCTTGGGGCACTCCACTTGAAACTGGCTGCCAACTAGACATGGAGCCATTGATCAGTACCCGTTGAGCCCGACGATCTAGCCAGCTTTCTATCCACCTTACAGTCCATTCATCCAGCCCATACTTCTTTAGCTTGGCAGCAAGAATACTGTGGGAGACTGAATCAAAAGCTTTGCTAAAGTCAAGGAATAACACATCCACTGCTTTCCCCTCATCCACAGAGCCAGTTAGCTCATCATAGAAGGCAATTAGGTTAGTCAGGCACGACCTCCCCTTGGTGAATCCATGCTGACTGTTCCTGATCACTTTCCTCTCCTCTAAGTGTTTCATAATTGATTCCTTGAGGACCTGCTCCATGATTTTTCCAGGGACTGAGGTGAGGCTGACTGGCCTGTAGTTCCCCGGATCCTCCTTCTTCCCTTTTTTAAAGATGGGCACTACATTAGCCTTTTTCCAGTCATCCGGGACCTCCCCCAATCGCCATGAGTTTTCAAAAATAATGGCTAATGGCTCTGCAATCTCATCCGCCAACTCCTTTAGCACCCTCAGATGCAGCGCATCCGGCCCCATGGACTTGTGCACGTCCAGTTTTTCTAAATAGTCCCGAACCACTTCTTTCTCCACGGAGGGCTGGTCACCTTCTCCCCATATTGTGCTGCCCAGTGCAGCAGTCTGGGAGCTGACCTTGTTTGTGAAGACAGAGGCAAAAAAATCATTGAGTACATTAGCTTTTTTCACATCCTCGGTCACTAGGTTGTCCTCTTTGTAATTTACTGTTCCCCCAATGTTTTGTTTGATCTGTAAACTTAATCAGTGATGATTTTATGTTTTCTTCCGGGTCATTAATAAAAACATTAAATTAGGGCCAAGAACTGATCCCTGTGGGACACCACTAGAAACAGACCCATGCCCGCCGAGAGCAATTCCAGGCACCAGGGCCAGGGCCATCCCTGAGGGGACGGGAGCCTGGGGCAGAAGTGATGATTCATCACTTCTGGGACGCCGTTACTTCCGGGACCGACTGTGCCGGCCCGTGCAGGGCCCCTCAAAGCACTGGACCCGGAGCGGTCGCGCGCGCCTGTAGGAACCCTGCAGCCCATCCAGGCAATTTAAAAGGGCCCGGGGCTCCTGGCTGGCGCTGCCACTACCGCAGCAGCGGTGGCAGCCTGAGCCCTCCGGGCCCTTTTAAATCTCCCAGGTCCCTGGGCAATTGCCCCCTTGCCCTCCCCCATCGGCAGACCTGAACACACCCATCTGATGATTCCCTATTTACAATTACTTTTTGAGACCTAATAATTAGCCATCTTTTAATCCATTTAATATGTGCCATGTTAATTTTATATCTTTCTAGATTTTAAATCAAAATAGCCACATTTCAGGGCAACTGCACCTGTATTTCCCACTCATGGTCCGGCAATGGCACCCATTGTAGGCTCCTGGCTTTTCAGCCATCATCTCTCTTGGGCAGAGACCTACATCTTTCTTTTTCCTGAGCGGGGTTTTCTCAAGCTGCACTGTTCCCTGTCTACACTGTGAGTTTCCTAGCAAGCCAGATGGCCTAAATTGACCTGTGTCTGCACTTTGCTTTCTCCTCAGAGGCTATGAACAATTGTAATTGCCCACAGTTCTAAGTTACCACACAGCCCTTTCTAAGCAAGCACATAATTCTTAAAGTGAAAGCATTAAAAACACAGATTAAAATACTACAAGAATTTACACGCATGTTAAAAATCTTTCCAGAGGTCACTCCACTCCAACTCCACCCCAATGGCAAGTATCAGTCCTTCCAAACCTTCCCCATACCCACTGGGGACAAAAGG